AGCTCAGGGGAACTAAGTCCTGTGGATGAGATTTTCCTAAATTTGAACTTCTTGACTTTACAGATATTCAAAGTGGCTCTTTTAAGAAGCCAGTCTAGGCACTTCAGCCATTAAAAGGGAAGGAATAAGCAGTTGCAATCTTGAGAACATGCTGTGTTGGAGGTTAACTGGTTGCCCAGAAAGCCTGACGAGACATGGCTGGAATGCTGCAGGACGGCGGAACGTTCTGGTGCCCTTTCATCTGCCTGTAACTCAGGTTAACAGACCCCTCCCCCGCACCTGGACTGTCTCCCGCGGCCCCTCTCCTCTCACACCCCAAAGGGGAAGGCTGGGGATTCAGCAGGGCTGCCAAAAGCAAGCTTTGTGTTAGGATTTAAATTGGAATTTTCTGGGACTCAGCCGGCTGCTTCCTGTTCTAACAGGAGACGGCAGGACGCTCTGGGCAGGGCAACCAGGAGGCAGGGCTCAGGCACACCCACTGAGGTGAGCCAGGCACCTGGGCGCGGGGGCGGGGCGCGGGGGGGCCTCCCCTGTCTGAAAAAAGGGGGCTGTAAGAACCCTGCAGCAACGACAACAAGGCCATTGTCCCTTGAATTATAGCCTTAGGGAGCCAGAAGCCTTGGAGAACCAAAGCGACATCTATGCCAGGGCAGGGGAACGGTTTCGCGGGCTGGCAGGATGAGCTCCAGAAGGGCGGGGAGGCGGGGAGCTGCTGCTGAGCTGGAGCCGGGCCATTTCACCTCACTTGGCCGCAGTCAGGGGAAGCTCGATCAAGTTCGGGATCATCCTCTCTCCGTGTTTAATATTCAAAAGATAATCCTGAGCATGCTTAAGGTTTAAACTTAGCAGCCCAGGAAGTGGTTTGAAGAACAGGCAGGCATTTCCTGCAGAATTCTGTAGCCAGCAGAGATGGGACGAGTCATCTTCGCTGACTACTCTCCTGAGTCCACAATTCCTGGTTCTGTTCTCCTGGGGGAAGCTCAGCACCAACAGCTCCACGCATTTTCTTCGTCCTTGAAGCTTTGTTTTGTGGAGCTGTAGAAGGTTCGAGAGCTTACAAAGTTTTTTTTTAAAGTGTTTCATTTCTTTTTTAAAAATTTATTGATTTATATGAGAGAAATATCGATTTGTTGTTCCACTTATTTTTGAATTCATTGGTTGCTTCTTGTATCTACCCTGACCAGAGATCGAACCTGCAACCTCGGCATAGCAGGATGACACTCTAACCAACTGAGCTACCGAGCCAGGGCCTAAGGGACTAGATAGACATTTCTTGTGACTTCAAAAAGATTTTACAATTTTTTCCCCCATCTTTTGCATATAAGAGTGCTGTTTTATCCTGCACTTTTACTGTTCTGAGAGCCGTCCAAAATGTATTTATTTTTGTCATTGTAATAAGTGGCAACTACTTGGAGGGAGGGGTTGAGAGAAGATAAGTAGCTAAACAAGGGACTGGTGAAAAGGTACGCAATACCATTTTTTCATTTCTTCTTCATTTTAATCTAATGCACTTTGGTCTCCACCCCCTGGGAGTCAACAGTTTCTGAGCGCCTTCCAAGCACTGAGAGGCACAGACTGACTCCGTGCCAAGAACTGTTTTGTTCCTGTTCTCATTAAATCCATATAACAACTTGATGAGGTAAATGTTAGTGTTCCGGTTTTACAGAGAAGGAAATTGAGGCTCAAGTTATTCACTAACTTAACTAATGTCACAAGACAAAACAATAGACCACGGTTTCAAACCCAGGTCTGTCTCTCTAACGCCTGGGTTTTTCCACTGCTCCACACTGCCTCCCAGCCCGCAGCCCGCTCTCTCCCTGCGTCCTGCACAGCAAATTCACAGATGTGTCAGTGACTGGAGAAGGTAAGAAAACACTGCTCTGAACACACTGGGCAGAGTCTCCTGGGGCTCAGCACAGTTTGCTCCTTTCTCTCCCGCGCTTATTACGGTGCAAACAGTGCTGGCTCCCCACCCGGCCCCCTCCTCAGGCTTTTGTCATCTGTCCCGCAGGCGGCCTAACCGCTCCCATTTCTACCCTATCCCACACACTCCGGGACCTCAGCTTCCTAAATCTCAGCCAGAACATTATTTCACAAGGACACTCACCAACCTTGAAAGGCAAGGTACCCTGAGGCAAAGAAAATGACTGTAGTTGAACAGTGTGATAGTGCAGCGCCATCTAGTGGTGCTGGGGGCCAAGGGTCCAGGCCCTGACATTTTCAAACAATCAATACCTCGTTATTAACCATAATCACAACCTGGTGTTTACTTTTGGAGAAATGTTCAGTAGCAAGGGATGCACATGCACTTTTCTGCATGTTTCAGAAGCCTGCGATCCTAAATGCCACAATGACTATTAAACAGTGTCCTGCCCATGAGCAAACAGGAGGGAGCAGGGATTGATTGTATCTCTTTTTCATCTGAGATGCTCACCAAAAACAAAGGATCCGTTGAAGCCACTGACCTTTCACTAACAGCTGGAAGGAAAATGCTTGATAAATAATAAAGCAACCACTACTGGATGTTGCTTAGAACCATCTTTTAATTAAAAGATCTGAGCCACTAGAAGGTCAGGTGACTGACATTTAAGTTCTAATCCAGGAAACGCATCCATTGAGGGTAAAACCAGACCCAAAATGTAATTTCACTGTCAGCTAGCATTCAACAAAAATCCCCTCTCTGTAATCCGTACAGATGGAGGGGCCTGTGGCAGCTACATTTTGTAGGGGACATAACATTTAACTCCCTGCCTCCTTTGCCTTCCCCTAGCAACCTCTTCATTTTCAAGCTGCAGCAATAACCACTTGTCTGGCTCAGCATCTCCAGTGCTGGGCTCATCCAATCAGAGACCCACCTGCCACAATGAGTGCTACCCTAGGACTGACAGGAAAGCCATTTCCTGTCTTTTCCACCGGAGAGCAGGTGCCCTTCCTCCACCAGCCAAGGTGACCTCGACCAAGTTACTCACTGAACCTGCTCAAGTGGCCGTCTCACTGAGCACCCTCAAAGGCTCCCGCACATGACTGACTAGCCAGTCACTCATCCACCTTTTGGCTGTTCCAGAGTAGAGCTCAGGAGCACAGAGACCAGGAAAAGTACAATAATAACCTTAGCTCCCACCCACTTACAGGACTCACCTTTTCCTGCTCCTAGCTCTACAGGCCTCACGCTGAAGCCTGCTTGAACGCTCAGAGCCACATTATGTCACATCCCCCGTGCCCCCGTTAGGCAATTCTGAGTCAGGCTTGGTCACAGCTGAGAGCCAAGGGCGGATGAGGCCCCGCACTGCCGCGAGCCTCATCTGGATTCCCAAGAGCAGAGGCAGGCTCCAGTGCTAGCCTCCGAGAAAATTGTGTCATCCCACTGGAATGACTTTGTTTAAAAAAAAAAAAATCCACTGAACGTTTTTAAGTGGCAAGCCATCATTTATTTAGAGAAAGGTATCATTTTAACAAAATTAGGACGCCTTGGAGGCACAGATTTTTCTGTAATAACATTTTCATTATCTGAAAACATGACACTAACTATTATACAAAATTACAAAAAGAATTGGGCTCGCCTTTTAAGGGCACACAAAGTAAGGATCAGCAAAAGAAAAGAACTCTATAAAACCTGGTGGGTCCAGGACCGCCTCAATGGGCCTTGCAATTTACATGATGGAAGATGTGGGAGCTGTTTTGTTTTGTTTTGTTTAATTTTATTTATTCATTTTTAGAGAGGGGAAGGAAGGAATAGAGAGAGGGAAACATTGATGTGAGAGACATCGATCGGCTGCCTCTCATACGTGCCCCAATGGGGGGACGGAATCCGCAACCTGGGCATGTGCCCTGACAAAGAATCCAGCCAACTAAGCCACACCGGTCAGGGCGGGACCTGTTTCCTCTGCTGGCTTTCTCGTTCCTTCTGTCCTTTAACTGAGAGCACTCACCCTGCTCGGCCCCCAACGTCTCTCTCTACACTCCCCGCGTACAGCTCATTTCTTCTCCTGGCTCCAATGCTTCCTCCTTCTCCCAGACACCAAACCCAGACCTGCCTGCCACTTGAGCACGGCACCGCCACCTCCAAGTCAGTATGTAAAGAACTGAAGCTCCCTTCCCCACCTGTTTGTTAGTGATGCTACTTCCCTGGTCACTCGGGACCAGGGAACCTTGGAATCTTTGCCTCCCGCTGGAATGGCGGCTCGGAAAGCAAAGTCTCCATCACGTCTCCTGTTCGCCTGTCACGCCCCCACTGCCCACTCCCCCAACCACAGTGTCTGTATCACATCTGGGCACATCTGCCTCTGACCTGACATTGCTTTTCACATTTCTTATACCCAGCTGAACTCTGCGTAGTTATCGAGGCCACTGTGAGCAAATCCCATCCTACCTGTTCAAACCTGCGACGCTCCTGCAAGGCAGTTTAATGCTTCAGTGGGTACAAGTAAGAATTTCCACGCTTGCTGACAGCGTGAAGTGGGGGAGAAGAGTTGCCTCTCTGGAACGGAGACCAGGGAAAACCATGCAGGAGCACAAACAACAGGCCTGCTGTGCCAAGTGCAGTGAAGGGCGTGCAGTCTGGAAGGGGCTCCATTACGAGCCTTGAGGCTTGATTTGAGCATTAGGCGAAAGAACTAAGCAGGTGCCATTTGAAAAGGGGAGTGAAGGTAAGGTTTCCAAGGACAGTGGTGGCGAGGGGTGAGGGGGTCCTCCTGGCACCAGCAGCAGCATGTGCACTTCAAGTCCCCAAGTCGCACCCGCCCTTCAAGGCTCTCCGCGCAGTGTTCCTGAACTAGCCCAAGGCCGGTCTCTCTCCCGGACTCTCTACGATACTTTTATATCATAATTGACAAGGATGCCTGTTCGTCTTATTATTTTGGAAGTCCCTCTGGTCTTCCCAATTAGATTTTAAGCTCCTTAAAGGCAAGGATGAGGTTCCACTTCCATTACCTCCAAACAACAGGGTCCGGGACCTGATGGCTTCTGCCCACACCGACAGCCGGGAGAGTTCTGAATTCACACCTTTCACTAGGCTCCGATCACCAAGATTCAACCTAAAGAAGGTCTCCTCTAAGGGAAAGTCTCCCCACTTCTACCAGGCTTAGGTCTTCCTCCTGAGGCCCCGGGCTGACTTAACAAGATGAGAATGCACTGGTGAGGGTGTGGGGAAACGCATTCTCTCCTACGCTGCTAGTGGGCGGATAAGTTAGCAGTTTTCATGGAGGACAGTAACCAAAGATGACCTATTCCTTGACCCAGCAATACCACTACTAAAAATGCACCCCGTAGCTACACCAGCCTGTTTGTAGCACAAGAAAACACAGAAGCACGTTTGTCAACTGGGCATTGATTAAATCACTAGGCATCCACGCTCAGGATCTCTGAGACATATTAAGTGGAAAAACAAGGTACATAACAGTACGCAGTGTCCCAAAATATTTCTGGAAAGGAAATGGTGACAGCAGTGGCCTTGGCGGAGAACCAGTGGCTGGCTGGAGAGCAGGGGTGGACGGGAGGGTGGCTTCTCATCTTTAAATTTTGAACCATGTGCATGTGTAATTTAAGAATTATGCAACAAATAGCCTTTTAAACATGTCTTTGTCACTAGGGGACAGAAACTGCCCTTTACACCCCAGAAAGTTTAGAGAAGTTATGAGTGACCCGCGACTGTTCTTCTGAGAATGGAACCGCCCCCTCCACCTGGCCTCCTCCAAGGCCTGGCCCAGTTCAGGGAACCCAATGGCTGCCTGATGCTGGTGAACGGGTGAAATGTACTCCCCATCTAAAAGCAAAGCATTCCCCAGACGAGAGGAACTGCAAAGAATGATAAAGGTAAGGGCGTGCGGCGGGGCGGGGGGAGTGGAGGAGCAACACAGCTGAGAATTGCTTTTGCCTCATCTACCCATTCGCCTTCCATTATCTGAGCACCCATGTGCCAGGATGTGTACAGGCTGTGAGATGCACGCCCCACCCTCAGTCCACCAGGAGACTGAATCAACTGTACACAAACAACACGGGGTAGGAAAGCTACACGAGGTTTAAACTAAGGAATTTCTGAAGCAGCTATTACTAGTAGCTGAAAACCCCCAGCTTGATCACAAACACAAAGGTGACCATCTCAGAGGGGGATCTCATTTATTTAAAAGCAGGACATCATCGATGAGGATTTGCGAGCACACCTCGACACCCGGGAGGCAGGGGGGTGCCAGTGCGGACCATCATCTAAATTGGCTGCCCTCTATCGGCAATCCAAGAGATGCCATCTGGACCCAGGCTGGAGATGGGTGCAATCTTTCACCTACTCAGCAAAGCCTGTACTATGGGCAAGCCCATGTTAATCGTCTCTCGCACAGTCAATCCATGAGATTAAAGTTATAGTTTTGGCCTTTGGCTATTTTCAATGATAGGTCCTCGCTCTTACCGCAAAGCACAAGTCAGCTTGGCCTCTCAAGTTGAAGGTCAGTATTTCTATAGCAAAAAGGACACAGATTATCTACACACAGAAACCACTGACCAAAGACCACTTTATATGTGTAAGTAAAAGTCTGATAGATCCAGAGAAGAGAAACATGCCCGAGAATCAAATGTAGCCAGCCCACAACCTACTCAAAATGAGTCCCATTCAAGCAACATTTATAAAGGTTTCCTTGTGCTATTTACCATTTAAAAGTAAATTTACTTTAAGCCGCTAGGGAATTCTTTATTTAACACTATCCTAACATAAAAGTTCACACAACTGCTTCTTTCAAACCATGACACTGAGCTATATGACAACCTAGAAACAAGAACTAAAAGGCAAACATAATGCCTTGGAGATCCAGAAACATTTACGTAGCTCCACTGTTAAAAACTGTTCAACATCCATCTGGTGAATACCGTTCGGAAGTCAGTATACATGGTATACAAGTTCTTCAGGGAGGTGAGAGACCTTTCGACGGCTCTTCAGGTGCCTCCAAATGCTGGTCCTGTGAGACTTCTTCCAGGGGCTGCTTTTTTTCCAACTCAGTTTGGGGTTTGACACTCGTGGGTTCAGATTTCCAGGAAACATGACTACCGTCCTGTTGCTTAGAAGATCAGACATAAGTATGTCACACAGATGTTATCATTTCACTCAAGTAGCTGGCTGAAGCTACATAACTTAGGCACCTTCTCTCACTGAGTCAAAAACTTAACATTAGCCCTGGCTGGAGTGGCTCAGTGGACTGAGTGGTGGCCAGTGAACCAAAGGGTCGTCGGTTTGATTCCCAGTCAGGGCATGTGCCTGGGTTGCAGGCCCAGGTCCCCAGGAGGGGGCGCTCAAGAGGCAACCACACATTGCTGTTTCTCTCCCTGACTCCCTCCCTTCCCCTCTCTAAAAATTAAATCTTTTTAAAAAATTAACGTTAATATTTTTCATCAAATTCTATTCTAACAAACAACCAACATGATAAAAATCTCCATAGAGGCACAATTTCAAACCCCCTAATAACAACTCACTTGTTCCAAGGCTCAGTCACAACCACAAAATTCCAGTATACAACATCTAAGAGTATTTGGCCTGCAGTTTAGGGACATGAGCCAAGGTTGAGGAAAGAAAACCAAGCCTCCTTTAACCTCTGACAAATATTGCTTCTCAGCCTGTTGTCTAACATCAAGTGTAACCTGACAAATAGACAGCTAATCCTAACAACAATTTTGATAATACTCACAGCCCTTGCTTCTCCTACTCGTCTTAAAATGACACCTTCCGCCAATAAAGCCTTCCCTGTTTCCACAAATAATTTCTCTTCGTCTGTTTCTCCAAGTTTCTGTAGCTCAATGTACTTCTCCACAAACCTGGAATTCCAACAAGCAGTCACATCTTAGGTGTGTAATTGAGAGCTGTCAAGACCTGCTGTTACACAGTGTAAAGCGTGCCCTTAACAGATCTTCCCATAAGAACACTGCTGTCCTCTAGTGCAATTCAACAAAACTCCTCAAACTGATAAGTACATTTTTAAAAATAAAAAACAAAGTCACCTAGAGTTTATAAAATGGCTTACCGTTGACAGGTAGACTTGAAGTTTGGGTTGAACAGATCAAAAGCTTTTTGACCAGATCCGTAGGCTGAATAAAATTTCCTGGGAAATAAAAACACAAAATAAATCTCCAGTTATAGATTATGGCCAAGAACAGACCAAGAATTAACTGTTAGGCCCTCAGGAGTTAGGTATAACATGGCCTACAGAGCCTGAGCCTAACAGTTTTTGGTTTTTGTTTCTAAATAAGTAATGCATGCACATGGTAAACTTGCCAAATGCTACACAAAGGTATCCAAGTGAAAAGTAACACTGCTCCTCACCTCTACACCCAAATTCCCCAGTTCCCTTCTAGGAAGTAATACTAACCAGTTTCTTATATATCCATTCAGGAATATTCTATTAACATACAAGCATATAGGTATCTATCATTCCATCTCCAGCCACATTGTTTACCCTCAAGGAGAGTGAGCACTATTCTACATCTTGCCTTTTTTTACGTGATATTTCTTAGAGATCATTTCAAATCAGTGCATGCAGGTTGTTTCCAGCCCTTTGCTACTCTAAACAGTACTACAATGATTATCTTTACCTCTATTTCTTAGTGCACTGTGCAAATAAGTCTGTGCAATAAATTCATAAAAACGGTATTATTGGGTCAAGGTATGGGCACTTGTAATTTGGCCTTCTCAATTGCCAAAATGCTTTCCAAAGCATTGTGCCAATTTACACTCACACCAGCAACGTATGACAGTGCCTTCTTCCCCATGCCCCGACCAAATTACCCCTTCCAACTTTATGGTCTTTGTCAATTTGATAGGTGAAAAATTATAACTCATGGTAATCTTGGCTTTTTTTATGAGACAGATTGAGCGTCTTATCATGTTTAAAAGCAAACTGAATTTCCTTTCCTGTGACCTGCCCATTTGCCAATTTTTCCATTTGGTGGTCTTTTTCTTACTCACTTATAAGCAAACTTGATAGCAGTAAAAATAGGAATTTAGCCTTTCATCATACATGCTGTAAATTTTTTTTCCCCAGTATGCTGGCTGAGCTTTGATTTTGCTGACGGTACTTTTTTTGTGCAGAAAATTTTAATATTTTCCTTTATAGTTCTGGACTTTATGTCACTCTTAGAAAGGCCTCTATCGCTCAGACTATTTTTAAAGTTCTCCCATGTTTTCTTCCAGTACATTTATGATTTCACTTTTTAACATTTAGTTTTGATACATCTGGAATATATTTTGTTGTTTTAAGTTCTTAAAAATATAAAACACAACCTCCCCCCAAAAGCCACAAAGATAAATGTTCAAAAACCTACTTAAATAACGGGTGTTATTATTTTGGCATTGACAGTAATAAAAGAGAGCTATAAAATATTCCACGTTGTCCAATGGGCTATCTATCACCAACCGCCATTCACACAGCAGAAGTACAAATGATTTTAATGTATAAATGAACCTGGAAAGTAAGCTGACTATGCGCATCCAATGGACCTGAGCAGGAAAGTGTTGAAAAAGTATTTAATGCCCCAAAGATCTTGTGCCCTACCCTGAAAATTTCCTAGAACAGAAACGTACCAGTTTTCCTACCTCAAAGGAGGGTAGGGGGGTGAGGGGGTGGGGGAAATCCTCAAAAGAAACGTGCCTGGACCTCAGTAGAAAATATAACAACTCTATAAATCCTGTTTCCAGGAATAGGGGTCAGGATAAGGAATATGTATTAACTTCAATTAACTGGTACAATCTCTAATCTTAACATTTAAAAGAAACCATACAAATTCTAGGTATTAAAACTGACAAGTATTTGGGGGAAAGGGCTTTGTCAGTGACTCCCAGTTTGTTGACCTCCTCAAGCCTCAGAGGCCCCATGACTAACATGGAGAAAAGGTGCCTACCTTGCAAGGCAAGGCAAGACCTAAATGAGATAATGTCGCTTAAGTACTTAGCGTCGTGCCTGCCGCAGAACAGATGTGCAGAAACAGGTAGCTATAATTGCTGGGCTCCACGTTTTACTTCTCATAACTTCTCTTTCCCTCATATGCGGGAGGGCACTGATTCCCTAATTTTGCTAAATATACAAGCCCTTTTCCATAGGGAAAGCCCTGACTCCATTCCTATTTAAGTTATCAGACTGCTAGCTAAACCCTTCCCTCCGCAGTTCTGCTGCATCCTACCGCACTCACGCTCGAATCAGATCCTCGTGGTAGAAGATGTCCTGGATAGGAGATTTGGCTTTGCCATAACGCAAGCGGGGCCTTCGGAAGACCGGCTCCCTCAACGGCGGAAAGGCCTTATATATGTCAAACCAGAGGGGCTTCTCCTTCAATACCCCAGCCCGCATGAGATCCCGCGTCCTTAAGGAAGGAAAAGAACGAAAGTCAGTCGGTCACAACAGCCTGTCTTAAGCCCCTGAATCAGTCTAACCTTAGTCTGGGACACCAGCAGGATCACGGAGTCCGCAACACCGAACCGGAAGGAGGGCCTTGCAGGGGTGCCCCCAGACTACAGGTGAGCTATTTCCATATTCCAAAGCAACCTAACCCAGCTCGGAGTGTTAAGTCCTATCTCCATTGTGCGTCCCATCCCCTCGCCCTATGCCCGTCACGTCAAATGCAAAGGTCCAGCGGGGACCATCAGCCTCTTTTTCCCTTCCTCTTTCTAGACCTCCATTCGGGGAAGGGAGAGGTGCAATCTTGAGCGTGAAAAGATAAGTCCAAGAAGCCACATCGTCAGGCACAACTACTTAGAAGCAGGACAGAGCACAGATGGGCCTCCCAGGCTCAGACACCGCACCCTAGAGAAGGCCTCGCCCTGCTCACACCCACCCAAGCTAAGAGCCCCCCGCCTGGGGGAGCACCTTCAGCCCAACCCGGCTCCAAGCACGCACCGCGAGAAAATGCTACCCACGGTTTCCAGCCGACTCCCCGCCATGGTCGGGCCTCTCACCCAGCTCTTTGAGTGGCGACCGGAACCGGAAGCGCCAGCGGCAGGCAAAGGAGGCGTAAGTTGCTAGCCGAGCGGAGGATCTCAGGGCTTACCCTACAACCGTGACCGGAGACCAGAGCCAGGCAGAAGCAAGGGATCGGCCGAACTAGCGCGCTTCTCGGCTACTTGCCAGGTTCAGACAGGAGCACTCGAGAGCCGATCCGACCAGGCGGAGAGCGAGCCAAAACCGGGCAGATGCAATAAATAACCGATCGTGGGGAGGGATTAATTCTAGTGGTTGCTTGACCCTTTCTGGCCTCGCTAAGCTAACGCCTTATAGGTGGGGCCGCGCGGTGGAAAGATGGCGAGGAGGGAGGTGGAAGGCGCAGCCCACGTCCTGGGAGAGCCAACCAGAAGGTCACCAGCACTAGCCCCAGCTGCGCTTCATCTTGGTTGGAGTGACAGATGACGCAGAAGGAACCGAGGCTGGGGGAGGGGCAGTCACCTGCTCAGGGTCACCCCGGAGCTCTAGCCGCGGTCCTCCGTCTCCTGCCGTTTAGCTCTCCCTTTTCTACCCACGAAAGCCTAGGGCCTTGGAGCGCCACCTGCATCGTTTTAATAGGGATACTGCCGGCAACTAGTGTTTTCTCCCCGGGTGGAGTCGCTGCCTAGCTCCTCCTTCGAGCTTGGAAAGTTAAGAGTGTCCGGAGCAAATTCCGAGAAGGAAGCTTAAAAATTTGGGGGAAGTTAACTCTCTTTTGGCCATATAAACATACTTAGGGTAAAGTATCTCCATAAAAATTAAAGCACAGTTTCATGGGAATATTTGAACAGGGATCACCATTGCAGCATTGTTTGTGGTGGCAAAAAAATAAATTTGGCTAATGGGAAATGGCTGGAAAATTCCTATGCAGCTAATAAAATAAACGAGTTAGCTCCGAATGTATTTACCTAGATGAATGAATACCCATGGCATAGTTAAATGAAAAATGGGGTTTCAGAGAAACGCCTTTAGCAGAACCCTAACATGCTAAAAGAAAAAAGAAAACACTTTACAGTATATGTGTTTGTGTTTGTATGAGGACAGAAACTTGTGGAAGGACGCACGAGGCTGTGAACATTAGTTATCTCCAGTAAATTTGCAGAAGAGGAAGGGAGAATTCTTTATTTATCCCTCGGAGTTTGACCTATAAAGAATTTGTATTTCTATTTGAACTTTCCAATCCAATGAAATGTTTTGAATCACTTACACACACAATGTCCCCTGGGAACCCATTATCTTTGTCAGCAGGAAAGAGCATCACGGGTATCCCAGAGTCCTCCTGCTTCATGGGAGGCTGGTGAGGAGGAGGAAAGGAATGTGTGATGAGCAGTTACTGCTTGTTTGTGTTATCTCGCTATCCACACACCTACCCACAACATGGCTATTATTATCTTCTTTATAGATTAGAAAGTAAGGCCTCGGGGAGTTAAGTAGCTTGTCTGATAGGTAACTGACACAGCCAGGCTGCCAGCCTGGCTTGGGCCCCTTCCAGAACTCCACAGTGCAGCTTTTGCTATGCCTCACGCTGGAGACTGCGTAACAGAGGAGGTCAGGCAAAATGGGCCCCAAGGGCAGGGGACAGGGTGATGTGAGGCCAGGGCCAAACTGAGAGGCAGGTGTCACTGCTGCCTCAGTGCCTGTTGGAGCAGAAAAGAGAGCACAGCTCTGGCCACTGGGCTAAGTGCAGAGGCTCTTCCGGCCCTAGGAAGGTCTAGAAGACTTTGCTGGAGAGAGAGCACACACACTCCCAGCTAAATATAGTCTCCCCAGGCCTCATAACAAGTTTCTAATTCCGTCCAAGTCAGAGCTAGTTGTCAGCCCAGACCACACACTTCCTTTCTCCCACTCAGGCCTGCCCCCATAGGCCACTGAAGTTACCGCTGTTAAAGAATCAGAAGGGTTTATTCCAAGTTCAGGGAAGGAACCCAAAGACCCAAATGCTCCAAAGGGGAGGAATTGCAAGGCAAGAATTTTCTCTCTAGATCTTCTTGGAGAAGTCGCTTCCTCTTCTGAGCCTTTCAAGTTCCCCCTCCAGCATCATTTCTAATCTTTCTGTGACCAAAGAGCAGAATGTTGGTGGGTAGAGTAAGGGGACCATGGAGATACAGGGGCAAGATGGATTGGGAACCCTCTGAACCTACAACAGGAAGTGTGCACCCCAGGGTGTGTTCATTCATAATATAGGCAGAAGCTGTTGGGCAACCGGGGGCAGGCACCAGAGGCTTGCTCTCTTCCCAACACATCCTCTCAACGCTGCTGCGAGGGGTGGATACACTCATGCCTCGCACTGCACCAGGAACCCGGATTATCTCATTCGATTGTTTGTTCAGCCACCTGATGCCATAGGTAATGTTCTGACAATCTCACAGATGAGGAAAGAGCGCTTGTAAATTCTCCAAAAGGTCATATTCCTTTCACTGTGCCACTCAGCTCCATTTAGTCCCACTGCATCACACTGCGGATGTGCCCATTAATGGTGTCACCTTGGGCAATCCCCATAACTTTTCAAACCTGTTTCCCCGGGTGTTAAAATATGGATGGCGGTATCAGCTATCTGCGTGGCTTGTGCAAGAGTAAAAGTGGTCATTCTTATAAACCACTAATCGCAGCGCACACAGTGAGTCCTCATGATTAACGAGTCTGATTGCTGTTAGTGTTGTTATTGCTGTTGTGTCCTGGAGATCGCAGATTGCCCCCTGGGACGTCATCATTTTGATGATATTTTATAGGTTGCTTTATTGTTTCATTTTCTTGTTGAATGACCCACTCATCCTACAAACATGTAAGCAGTCTGACCCCGTGGTGAGTCCTAGAGAAGATGACTGTCCAGTGGGTCAGACCAATAGGCAAATTCATAACTAATAACTTAAGTGCTGAATAGCTTGTTGATTGTGAAGTTTGCTAAGGCTGCAATAACAAAATACTACAGGATGGGTGGCTTAAACAATTTATTTTCTCACAATTCTGGAGTCTAGAAGCCAAGGTCAAGGTGTTGGCAGGTCAGTTTCTCCTGTGGCCTCTCTGTAAAGACTCTTATCTCCAAATACAGGCACATCCTGAGGTACTGGGGGCTAGGACTTCAACATATGAATTTTGGAAGGACGCCATTCAGCCCATAACGTTGATAAGTACTTGTGCTGAATAGCGTTCGTTGACCCATCTAGATCCACATGCACTCTGTGCCCTCCTTCATCCTGCTCTGTGCCCCAGGAGGCTGACTTGTATGGACTGCACTACCCGCGCCCCACCCCCAGCCCCTTGCCCTCTGCTTCCAGTTGAGTTCCAGTTGGTACTGCCAATGGGAAGCATTGGCAGGGGGTTGGAAGGAAGGAGGAGAGAATCAGCCTCCATCCCCCTGGCTCCCTCCCTGCACAGTCCAGGAACATAAAGTCCCAGCTGCCACCACGAGGCCTCTTCACACAGCTTTCTCTGACCGGGTTCCAGTCACTGTGCCTTCCCTTGTCCCTTCAGACTTAGGCACAGCAAACTGCACCCCTCTGCTACTAGCCTTGAGGGGTAGGCCATCCCTTGTGGCTTCCCTCCACCTTGCCCGCATCTTTGTAAATAGTGCCTGGGAGTTTATCAGACAAAAAGTAGAAGGGCATCCCCAACAACAAAACAACTTCAGTAAGTGGAAATCCCGGCATATTGATGAAGCCATTAATATTCACCTTTGGCAGAAAGCCAGGATGAGGGGAAATCAGCTGTTGCTTCAAAAGAGAAGAAAAGCAATAGTACATATTCATTCACAGAACCAGGAGTAGGAGGACAAAGACCAAGGAGAGAAGGGTTCAGGGAGGAGGCGCTGTGTATCTCGCCTCTAGGCTGCTTCCACACGCACACTCCAACAAACTGGGTGAATGTGTCCCCAGGACCTGCTCCCTCCTTCCTTCCCACAGCTTATCACTCTCACTGTTTGGTGTTGTAACTCTGTTTACTTGTCTGAGTCTGTCTCACTGGGCCTCTCTGAGGACAGGAACCAGGGCTCTTATCTCTGCCTCTGACACCCAGCCTAGTGCTTGGTCCACAGCTGGCTGTTAGAAAAAGTTTTCTAGCAAACAGCACGGATGAATAAAGCCAATTTAGGAAAAATGAAGGTGCAGCACCTCAGCTCTCCCCTGCTGCCTGCCTTCCCCAGATATGCTCACAGGGAGCGAGCTGTGGCTGAATGGAAATAAACCTCCACCCCACCATGCATCTGGTCATTTCCAGTTCTGGCTGTCCTCTGTGCCTCACTGAGGGATGGATCCCTTTTACAAACCTTTAGGCCTCAGTTTTGTCATCTGTAGAATGGGTATAATCATAGCACCCACCATATAGACTTGTTGTGAGGAGTCAGTGGGTGAATACCTGCCTAGTGCTTAGAACAATGCCTGCTGCCTAGTAACCGCTCAATAAATAGGAGGGATAATAACATTTCTGACCATTCCATGCTTAAGAGCAATAAATCACAATTTTTTGAATCACACCTACAATTAAATCACACCTAGCAATTTGCAAGGCATTTTCACATGGCTGCCCATTCATTTCTTCAGCAACTCTGCCCCCAAGGGGAATCAGAGTTCAGGCAGAGGAGACAAAAGCACTTGATGCTTCCACCGGACCTGGGAGTCTATATCATTGTGGCTCCTTTCGTAGCGAAGGAAACAGGAGCCGGCTGGGCCTGGACCAACACTCTGGCCTTTTATTATTGGAATCACTCTACTGAAGACCCATGAAGGCAGACGTTTCTGGGCTGGTGTGGGCCCTTTTCTTGTGGAAGGCAAAGCAACTCAGTCTTTAATGTGCACCTGAACCTCCTGGGATTCTTGGGGAATGCGGATTCCGACCCAGGAGGTCTGGAGTAGGCCTGAAACTGCATTTGAACGGGCTTCCAGATTGATGTCAGGAGTGACCGTGTCCACAGACCACACTATAAATAGCAAGGTTACAGCAAGGCAGGCTTGCGCTGAGTTTGTACTGGGCTTCACAGCTCCTTACATCAGAGTCCCTGGACTAATCCTTTTGACCTGATAAGAGATTGTGACCTTCTACTCTCTAGAAATGACAAACAGGGGAACTGTCGATTGTGTGGGGCCTGAAACTTATATAATCTTAGCGACTCTTTAAAGAAAAAAAGAAGTACAAAAATATCTTTGTTTTGCAAATTTAACGTCGAGCTGGGTGTTTACAAGACACGTGAACAGAGTAAATTCCCTTTGTTTGGCCTCAGGCCAAACAGGTAGTCAGGTCTTTTGGGAAAATGGTGTTTGGCCTCTCAATGGCCAGCGACTGCCACTTCTGAGAGACAACCACCAGGTGGCAGTAGATTTGCACAGTACCCTCAAC